TACCGTGGTGTCAACAAAGACTACTGGGACACCGGGTAGAAGCTGACGTGTACATTGTGTTACTAGTCTGGTCTGCGTCCTAGTGAACTACTACGTAACTGGTGGTGTAACGGGAGCACACTCGTAATGGATTGAGGAGTCTAGGTTCGAATCCTAGCAAAGCTGACGTAGAAGTCACAAAGGAACCGGTATACATGCCGCAACGCCGTCGCTCTATTAATTGTTGTGTATGACAATTACTGGTTATATTGTGAAACCAGTACTTGTCATTTGTTTGTATGCTAGCGATATTGTTAATTTAATGTAATCTTGGTTAGTTGAGTTGTGTCGACCACTCATTATATAGTATAGAATCGTTTAATTTCTCCCTGTTTTAGTCAGGGGTACCCTGGTTAGGACATTAAATGTGTCACGCCCTGAATTGTATTGATTTACCGCGTTTGTAATAGTTTCCTTTGTATTAAAATAGTATTGTGAATATTCAAATACGATAGTTTCATTGCATTTAATTGTATGCTAGTACACGATTATGGATGGAGTAGCAGGACGAAGGTATTTCTGACCGAGCTTGGTGACAGTGATTGACAGGTCATACTTGTTTTCAACTCTGGAAGGACGGTGAGTTCTAACAGGTGTGCTTGTAATTTCCATAACAAAGGGTATTTACAACTTTGGAAGAAGAATTGGAATCTACCAGGTGTGCTGTTATTTGAATAACAAAGGATGCTTATGATCTACTGAGTTGCCTACGTGACACAGCTGCTATCAAGATTACATCCTGATTGGCTCATGTGGAAACCCAGGTGGTGTCACTGCCTATAAATTGGACAGACTAAAGACAGTTTGAGTGGATAATTTCAACTTGGTGTCCGTCCTTTCAACTTGCTTTCCTGTGTGTTCTGCTACGATACGATATTACAGGCTACAGCCATCATTCTGTGAGACTTGTATGAACAACTCTGCGATCTCCTGCTTTCAGCGGTGCCCTCCAGAACACCAGCGTTCCTCTGCAAGCAAGACTCCTGTGTTTCTCCGTTGTTGTGTTGCAGAAGCCAGTGACTGTCGTCCATTAATACATCCTGGAACTGCGAGTTATCACCAATGTACACTTCCCTAAGCAATTCCCTATTTTAGTGACTTTATTCATTGTATTTTCTGAGCTTTATTTCTTGTAATTATTTTCAGTGGTATTAAAGCCAGGAGCTTTAACTCGATATTTTGGTGTATGTATATTTCATTTCCAGTACTGTAGTTTTATCTACCCCATACTAGCAGTGAAAGAACCCCCGTCCAGTGTGAGTTCTGTGGGTGGCCCTCTCACTTGCGATAAGCAGGCCTTACACTGTGACACCTTTTTACCATACAACTATATCACTAAGGCTTTTAGACCATTCATGTTTGGCATATACATCATAAATATAGGAATACATGTTCATATCAGTTTGTTCCATAATCAGGCCAAAGATGGCCGACTGACATCAATCGTGTTTTTTGAAAAATGTGCTTTCTTTAGCAGGATTTGTCACTCTTGATACAAACATTGTTTATGTTGAGATATATGTTCTTAATGATTTGTGTCGTGTTTGAATCCAAAACGACCAACTGGTAGCCATCTCGTTTTTTTCAAAATGTATTGTTGACATGTTTTGTTTCTCTTCAAATTATACATGTTATGATACATGCCCATGACAGTTATTTCCACAATCGGATCAAAGATGGTTGACTGCCTGTAATCTTGCTTTTTACCATACTACCACATCTCTTTACATGGGTCCATACAAAGGAAATTTAGTTTGGATACAAAAATGCATGAATAGCTTATCATGTTTAATTTCTGACCATATGTTTTGACTTTTGAAGAGTAATAAGAATAATTGTTCGGTGAGGCAACGCAGACAACCAGCCTGTACATAAAATCTCAGTTACGTTTACTGTGGTGTCATGAGGATTGCATTGCACAAACAATTGCGACCCTCCCCTTATGCCTGCACAGATTACTGTAACCTTTCCCTTAACGCTTGCACGAAAATCAGTGACCCACCCCCAAACACACTGACCTACCCCCACCTGTACGTTCTGTCCAGTCCATAACAGTTCTGTAAGACTGTGCTGTTATTGTAAGGGACAAAACCGTGGTGCTAATAGAAACAATAAAAGATGTAGGGGGAGATGATATAGATAAATTAACATGAATACGTTTTCGTATATGCCGTACAAAGTTTTGTCAAAGGAATTATATGACAGCAAATTTCATAATTGTGATTTGTTCCTATTTATGACAGTTTCTATCACGCGAATGGCCCGTGAAATCCCGGGGGATCACTATATATGCCGTTACTAACCCATGTACGTTCCAAATTTAGCGGGAAAGAGAGATGTTTTTCATCTTCACAGTGTTGCTGTGCCCGCTGTAGGCCCCCTCTTGCAACAACCACTCCCATACACCACCTTAGGCCCCGAATTGGCGGGCCAATAGCCCCGACCAGATCGCAAACGTCCACCTGAACTTTCCCATCGGGACTTTCCCGCCACTTCCAACACGAGCATACGGAGGCTTATAGACTGGTACAGTCTGGGCTATTTATTTGTTTTTAAATTGAAAATTAAATAAAAACAATAGCGAAATGGGGATGTTAACGCGATTTCTCCTGTTTCGCGTTCACCCCGCCTTTCGCAAAACTATTTTTTCCAAATTTTTTTTATTATTATCATCATTATCATTTAGGAAAAAATCACCCCAGCTGGGCCAGTCTAGGAGGCTTATTGTAATCGAGGATTCGAAACGAAACGGGATAACATACATAATAAAAATTAAACTGTAATTAGTGAAAATGGGGTTTATACGCACACTATTTTTTTTAGCAAGAACGCGCATGGTGTAAGGGTTTTAATATAGAGTGACACCCCCTCCCCCCGGGCGTGAAATGTACAGGACGTCGTTAAGCTGAAGCCAGGACGACCGCCCTCGTTTTTTTTCCTGTATCTGCCTTATTCGGTCGTCAGCAATAATATTAAATCAGCAACCAATTTAATCTTAGTATGCAAATGTTGTTGATTTTCTTTTATATTTTAAAAAGGTGACAAATTTTAATCTAATATTTAATAATTTTCTTTCACTCTTTATTCCATTGTGTTTGGTAAAACAAATACATATATATCCATTCAAAAAGTGTTCCCAATATATATTACTTAGCCCAACAAGATGTCGGTCGCGTATATACAAATGTTGCAAAAAAGTTTACATTCATTTGTAGCACAATCTAAGTGTGGCCCTAAATTGAGTGTATAAAATTAGTGAAACCACAAAACAACTGTTCAGATAATATAACACTGACATCCCTCTAACAGACTGTGGTTTCAGACAAGGTATGTATCGTTGAACAAAACTAATATTCCAGGCCAATTACGAAAATCGGTTTCATCGCCGATATATTGCTCTAAATAAGCTAGGGAACGAAGAAAATAGCTAACTTACAGGTAAATGTGAAATTATACTGTGCTCCTCCTTCCATGGTTTGGTAGGATGTGATATAGAAAACTGGTTTGACACGCAGCGAAATTATTTTAAATATTTGTATTGTACATACCAGTAGAAATCAAAAAAGGTTTAGGTATCAGAAATGTCAAACAAAGTACGACGCCCGGATTTGTCTGGCCTTTTGTATAAAATTATTTGTATAAAATTAAAGAAAACACATTTCTTCTTTTATTTCATTTATTAAATTAAATTGAAATAAATCAAATATTTTTGCTATGTCCAAGTGATTCGAATTTAAATATATAGAATGAATATATATCCATTTGCAGTACTTCTGACCATATAAACTGTCACTAGTCTGTGATGTATTTGTTAGCGCAGTTATTCATTGAGCTATATAAAAAACGATATAATGTCTTTAAGAAGTATTTATTAGACAGACAATCACGGAACATTGTAATGATGACGGGAAAGCGCAATGCAACACCAATGACGTGATATACGATCACAGTACTTCCAGAGGTCATATATGTCGGAATCGATGTATAAACGACTGACGCTGCATGCACAATTGAAATTACGGACGCTCTCAATATTATAATTGGTGAAAATACAATGACATAGTTTGGTATGGCCTAGATGTATGTGTAAATTGGGTGATACTGGATGGTAGCAGAGGCAATTGTGGCCATGCGCGAGATCAACGAGTACGAACTGAGACGTTACCAAACATTAATTATGTATTTTGTAGGTGACTGGAAGGTATCGAAGGGTCCCCGGCGGTAATTAGTGCAAGTCGCGCCTAGATCAAACCTCATACTTGTGATTTCCTTTAGAAGTACAAGTACTGTATGTGAAAATAAACTTAATATTTTAGTTAAGTTTGTACATTTCCAATTCACCTTAAAATTACGTTATACATACTATTTACTCCACGTTTTCGCAGGTCTCTGCAACGACAAAACTGTAGAATTTGTATTGTATTATATAGTTATGTAAACACAAAAATATGATTTTATATAGCATCGCCGATAGAGGGCCGCCTTGTCTGACTCGACGCCACATGAAATCTGAAATGTGTCCGTTAAATAGCCATTAAATTTCACACTATTTCGGATGCCATTGTAAAGAGTAGAGATCCAACGGATGAATTTAGGGCCGAAATTATGCTAAATAAAAAGCTTTCATTCGATCAAACTTGATAATTATACCAGATTTGGTTGTGTCATTGGTATATGATATCAGATATCTTATGCAAAATACATTGTCTACAATATCTCTTCCCGGCATGCAGCACGATTGTTAATCAAAATATTATCAGATACTAATTACCCTGCGTAGCCGGGATGCTAATAATTTTGAAATAATTTTGTAATCTGTATTTAGTAATGATATGGGGCGCCAATTTGAAATGAAGCGCTTATCACACTTCGGCACCAGGGTAATAATGGTTAAGCTCCAGACATGAATTTTCTCTATGAGTAGAGACTCGGTGAACATTTCCAAAGCAGGGTCAAAACACAATTGAATTCGCATATAATAATGTTAATCATATTAGTTATGTTGCTATATATGTAAAAAGAAAATAGACGACGCTCATTGCTGTCTCTTGACACTAATAGTATTAGACAGTTGGTCATCAATCTCCAATACAATTAGTCGACCAGGAAACTGATTGCTTGAGTTAGATTTAATAATATTAATACCTACATTTTATATATAAGAAAAGCCTCACCCCTCATACTACAGTGTTGTTGGTTTCCATAATTGATAGTGATTACCTCTCCATCCAAAATACGTTCAACAGTCTTGACGAAAGAATCGTTCCAGAAGGTTTCCTGCAGTCACAGAATGTCGACCTTATACAAATTAGAAAAGTCGACAATATTGTTCAACGTGCCATGGCCACTAAATCATCAACATTGATTGAGGCGAGAATTATCAGAGTGGTTAAAATAAAAACCAAAATACATCGATACTAACATTATGAGCATAAATAGTATAATTACCAATACTTCTTTGTTTCTTTAGGCGTAAAGCTGCTGTGTGATTGTGTAGTGTTAGGTTTCGATATGATCCGTTTTCGTTGATACGTCATCTCTTTAAATTGTTCTTCACTGGTGTCATTGCCCTCGAGGTGTCGAAATTTTCGAAATTGTATGCCATGTCTTGTTGATGTTGTTTTTGTTGTTGTTGTTGTTGTTGTTGTTATTGTTGTGGGGTAATGTTCGTTGCAGGTAGTTCAGTGTAGGTCTCTATCATCCCATCAGACTTGTTGCTTCATTCATCCGCACTGGCGAATTTAATATTCTGCTGGGAACAATCACGCGAAATGCTAGAGGCGTTCAATAAGTAATGCCACTGACCCACTTCCAGTTGTCTGATCTAGATGAGATTTTGCATGTGTAATGATTTATACCTACATGGGCTATGTTACAAAAAACAGCTCTGAACTAATTGTGGTTTCTGATTTACAAGTGTTTGAACTGAAATGGAGCCAGTTGCGTGATGCATACCAAAGGAAACTTTTGATGAAATGAATAAAAATGGTAATGACGCCCATCAAATGATCTTGTAAAACGCTGGCATCGTGAATTCAAACATTGCCGGAAGTCTTTGGAAACAGCTTCCAGACCTGATCGTCCCCTTCTGCCATTGATGAGGCATCTGTCCGTCAAGTTGAGGCAGCCATTTTGGGAGATCGGCGCATTACTGTTCGCCAAAATAGCCCAAGAGGTCAAGATTAGTACACGGTCTGTGGAAACTATCATTCATGACCATTTGCATATGCATTTTAAGGTGTCTGCCAGATGGATTCCCAGGTTGCTCACATCTTTCCAGAAGCAAGATTGCGTCGAGTGCTCGAGGATGAATTTGGAGATGTGCCAAGAAGATGAGTCAATGTTTTTTTCAAGAAACTGATTACACAGAATGAAACTTGGATACATCACTATAATCCAGAGACCAAATCCCATTCAATGTAGTGAAAACACTTGGACTCACTACCTCCAAAGAAGGCAAGGATTCAGCCCTCTGCTGGCAAGGTCGTGCTCTAAGTCTTCTGGGACCAGGACGAAGTAGTGATGACAGATTTCTTGGCAAAGGGTACCACAATTACAGGAGTCTATTACGCTTCACTTTTGATAAAATTAAGAGAAGCTATCAAAATCATGAGGCGGGGCTAGATCGGCATAGGTATCCTCCTCCTGCAGGACAACGCTCCGGTCCACAACTCGCATGTCGCCAGATCAGAAGCACGGACTTGTGGCTATGAAATCCTCCCCATCCCCCTTACTCTCCTGACCTTGCACCCTCTGACTTTCATCTCTTCCCAGCCATGAAGTTGTTTTTGAAAGGAAAGCTTTTCCCAGATAATGCAGCCTTGATTCCTGAAGTTACGACGTTGTTGCAGGACCAATCTGGGGTTGTCTACAAAAACGGTGTCCAGAAATGCATCAAATGATGGAAGAAATGCATAACTGTGGGAGGTTCCTATGTAGAGAAAGGCTAATAACTGTGCCAAGTTTCATTAATCTCCTGCTATGGGAAATTGGTCAGGGGCATTACTTATTGAACGCCCCTCGTATGCCCACGTTGACCACATATATAGCACCGGTGATTTCCTCAGCTACGTTCAGGAGGACCAGAAATACTGCATATTTTACATGTATGAGGGATATTGGTGGATAATGAATGTGTCACGCAAACAATTGTTACATACTTTAGTTTGGTCGTTATGCAACAACATAATGTACGGGCCGTTTTTCTCAAACTTTACTGCGTATTTATCATTTTACGGCATTAGGCAATTCGGCTTCCATAAGTCGTGTTCCACTTTGAATACCAGGAATTTCTGTGTAGTGTTTTTAATAATCGCGCTACGAAGTTTGCACTCAAATTGTAAAAGCTTGTCATCAACACAAGACGGCACATTAATGAAAAAGAAAACCGTCACGAATGAACGGCTGAGTTCTCGAACTTCATAGCCATTTATGTCAATATTTTGCTTTGTTTTATTTCACCAGAACATATATATATAGTAACAATATACGCAATAACAATAATAATAATAATAATAATATTGTTCTATATGTTCTTTCCAATTAAGTGTATTGTCAATTGTCACACCCAGATACTTTGTAGATGAGACGCCCTCTACAGTTTTATTTTGGACCTTAACGTTACCACAAGTATGGATTGCTCTCTGGGGTGTTTTAATTAACTTATAATTATTTTTTTTGGTTTTGATGTTTAATTTATTTGCATTGTACCAGTTGCGCACCTCCTGGAATTCGAAGTTAATGTTGTTGAGATTAATAGCTTTATTCTTAAGAACTTTGAAAAGATTGGTGTCGTCTGCAAAAAGGTGGAAATCGAAGACACTGGTAGAGTAGGTAATCTATATAGAGTATAGAGTAGCTGTATCATTGATGTACAAGAGAAATACAACTTGACTAATAAACGATCCCAGTGGAACACCGTAAAAGATATTTTTTGGAACGAAGTGTCGTGTCAAATACAACATACTGCTTACGATTGTAAAGGTAGTTTGTTAACAACTGTAGTATCGTACCCCTAAATGCACAATTTTCTTTGACCAAGTTAGCAAGGGTCAGTTTAGTATTGCGTTTTTCTTTTTATTGGAATTTCATATATCTCGGAGAGCCGACGTAAGACTCGTACCACGCGTACCAAGCGGCTTTTGAGTTACTTACTTGCAGATACCTTATTCCAATAATGAAACAACATGTTGATTTGGACTCAGTGTTATTTTCCATAATTCAGTGAACATCACAAGTCGTTTCATGTATAGCCTTAACAATTTCCAGCGCATGTAACTGGTCTCCCACAATGGTAACAGTATTGTTTTTCGCCGGAATATCATCGTCTTCGTTCGTCGGTGACTGTCACTAATTGCGGCATTAATGGCTTTGTCGTCAGTGTGAACAGAACATATCCAAAAGTAGCAAAATCAGAACCAATATTTATGATCGAACCTTGTAGTGTAAAAATGAAATGTCGGCTAAACAGTTTTTATTTTATTACAGTATATCGATAGCCGTAGTGTCTACGGAATGTATTTGTCATTAGACTGGCAGAACATAACGATCTGTTCAGAGCCATTTTAAATTAGTAAAGTGCAGTGCTGGCACCGTAACAATCGGTGATACAATTAATTTTGGCTTAATACATTCCGTATTATCAATGTGTATGTTTACAATTCCACTAAAAGCACAGCTTCAAAAATCGCAAAAATCGCAACATTTTAATCTGCTGAAAAAAAATCACACTGACAATGTTCAGTAATCCTGAATACAATAAGCGAAGTTATCGGAATGTCAATGTAAATTGTTCATCTTTATTGAAAGATAGTTGCAGCCTATATTGAAAGACGGACCTGTCACACCAAATTAAGACCTTCGACGTCCCAATGCGGGAAATCTTTGATGTTAAAACTTTCTGCTTTTTGGAGTTCTCTTTGGTAAATCACCATCTGTGACCAGTAAGAATATACCCATGATACAAATACTGTGGATCCTTAAAGCAAACAGAAAGGAGAATAGTTGTTGGACCAGTGCAGAACTTGAATATTAGACAAAAAATTACTTAAATTATTTAGAGTACGACTACAAATGTGCAGATCGAAAATATTGGTCAAGTCATTTTGAAATAAGTTAAAGAGAATTGAACCGTTACAACGTGGTTTGACCCAAGTGTTTGATAAAATAGGTCTGTTATTTCACATTTGAACTTGACATCATATTTTATCTTACTCTACATACTTTTTATTTTTATACATCTGTCACCGTAACGCCATAAGTTACAGCGTGCCGTAACTTGTCGGTATTTTACGGGGTATTTTCATCCTACCACATTAGGAAATGCGAATTCCAAATATGGAATGATTACGCGCGTAAGCGTCCTCTAACAATAAAAACAAAAATGGCTGTCACCAGGGTTTAATTGGACTCCACACAAAGAAATTCGCTGATTCTGTTCTAAACTTTTTAGATTTCGGCATTTCCATGATGTATCCTTGGTAGGAAAAGATGTATAATAATAAAGTTATTACGAAGATACCTCAAAGTATGCACTCAGACAGTACGCTGTCGCATCGACCTCCGCTGCGCGTCGGTCGATACTGCCGCTGTACTGTCTTCGTGCATACTTTTAGGTATCTTCGTAATAACTTCATATTATGTTATACATGTCATCTGTAATCCCATATGTTATTATCTTCAAAATTATGCATTCGTATCAGACACTGCCATAAGCTTTCATCAGATCCACAACACGTGCATGACGTAGGTCTTGATTTATTTATAGTATTTATTGATTGTTCCTTCGAAATATCACTGTGATACTAATTCTTATTAATTAATGTTTTTAAGATGAAAAGTTGTGGGCCATTCAACAAACTTAATTTCACTCTTTGGGATCTGTTCGTTAAAATTACGGGTAACATTATAGCTAAGAAGAGGTCTTATCATTGCAAGATGAATTTAATAATTTATTAAAATAAGCTAACCACTCATTTGGCGTTATTAACTAATGCAGAAGATACCAGTGATACATAATCCGAAACAGCACGACGTGTACATGTAAGTCGCGCCCTCTCTGGTCAAAAGGGGACGTGCATTTAATAGCCTCACTTTCACTATAGCCCGCCATCCAACATTTCGTGACCTCACCACCGCACATCACGATAGAAACAGTTCGTTTGATTGATTGTAAATATATTTACTTACGGATACAGAGTTCTTGTTCAAGCAATGACAGCTTGTAGTTGTCGTCACTGATCTTAGCTAATTCTGGAATGGTGGTGTTGTCTGTTAATTGTTTCATTGTAATGACGTTTGGAAGCTTCTGTTGGAAAATGTCTTCATAATCCTAGACAAAAATAATAAATAATTCATGCTTTGTGACTTTCAAACCAATTTTGATTGCCCCATATTTTTGGAGCTTTATACATTTTTGACACATATGAATAAATAAATTACATTATTGTCTCACTGATCACATTTCCTTATTAGTGGCTAGCATTGCTTCTGTCCTATTGCAGTTATTTGAGAGTACGCTATACCTAAACCACCAGGGCACATCATAGTATTGTTTAACCAAGGTGATATCCAGGTGATGAGCTACACTACGAGGGTAACGGTCCTGTGAGAATCGTCAGCTGTTCGATTCTTTCACATGAACAATCTCATTGCCATGTTCAACAGTGCTCAAATAATTTCATTGGTTTTGGCAAATTGCTTGATTCTCCATGGCAACACGTAGATGAATGGGAATCTGTCACATTCGTACACAATGATTTTACACGTAGTACTCACCTTACCACAATCCAATGTCTAGCATTGGATATACATATACTAGTGGATGTATTGTCCGTTGTCGGCAATTTGCCGGGTGCCAATAAAATTGGCCACCTAGAGGGTCCAATGCCCCTATCTCCAGTTCTATTTTTTCCGATGTGAGTGATGTCGAATGTGATGATGACCAGAACCTCTCGTACCGTCTGGTTCTTTTGATTTACTTTATGTTTTGCAAATAGTTTTCTGAAATGGATGGATGTTCATATGGTTTTGACCGCCCGCCATTTTAGAAGTTGCTCACTAAATGGTTAGAACTTTCTCGATGTCCAAATATTTATCGTTGTTATCTTTGTTAAACTAATAGACACTATTTTAGTGTGTGCTTAGAAGAAGGTTGTGAAATGGTGCCGAAACTGATAAATATGCACATTTTGTGTCCAGTACATTGCGAATGCTTCAAAGACAATCCGTGTACCGAATGTCCAAAATGGGTGGTCCATTCATCGTGTTTTCTACTTGCGTTGTAACACTGCTATGGGTGGCTGATATGGGTGGCTGATATGGGTGGTTTATCTGCCTCTCATTTTCTTTGGTGTCATGCGAAAAGCAGGATTCAACAAATATCGTATTGTTATCTACTTGTTATAACAGATTGCAGGGAGCAATGACTGGGAGGAATAACTGCTTTGCCCAATCGGACCTCTGTGCAGTTATTATTATTATTATACTCTAGTCTTTAGATGTGACACTAAACGAATGTCTATTTGTTATGAGTTCCTGCATTCTTGATGATGATTGGTCGACCGGTTTAACATACAATTACCCAGGCGTATAAGTTGCATTCAGAGATGGTTTTTCCAGGCCCAATAGGGAATTGTCTGCATCACTGGCTTTTCAGTGCGGCAATCAAGCACGTGTTAGCAATATGATTGTTTCTTCATTAATCATTATTTATCTAATTTAGCCTTTGAGACTGAATAATGAGTTTGCGATCTGTCCACATAAGAAAGATATAAAATGGCAGAACAAAAAACTAGAGATGGAGAGCATATTACTAATGGGCATTTCTCAGATTGAGAGCATCTTTACATGTTGTGTCAGCTCTAAGTACATTTTTATTATTCTGGGTTTTACCCAAGTTTTATGTCGCTTTTGTAAAAAGCTATTGAGTTAGAAATCTGTTATTGGTTTTGGCCCAATATACGGATTCAAAAGAGAGACTTCTGGTCAAGTTCACCAATCATATAAGTATGTAATGTATTAATTGTATAAACTTGTTTAAGTTCCCTCTTTAGTTGCTCTACTTTCATGGATGGTCACTTATGACCTAAACCTACATCAGATCACGCGTCACCTGAGTATGATTTGTATCCAGTCCAATAGTCTTTCCAATGCTAATTAATGGGATTTGATAAGGTGATTATGACTGAACTAATAAAATACACACATTCCCCTCGGGATAATTTAATTTTACATACTTGCCTTACACAGACTATAATCTACAATCTAGATCTATCAGTGACGTAATAAATAGAATTGAGATTGGGACATTGGAATCCCAGTTGATCGATTTTTGCGACATAGGTCTTCCTCGGACAGTAAGCCAACTAGTCTATCCAACGTTAAACATTGGGATTTGGTAAAGGTAAGTATGACTTGATGTGAAAATTCAAATTTCAAAAAAATCCGTGTCACCATGATGTTATTCTACCTGATTCAATGACAAAATTCAATAACCTTTTAAACAAATGTCACACTGTAAAATGTGAGGCAAACCATTATTCACGTCATCATGAATTTCTCTACGTTCGTTGTGTGGGGGCGCCCTGAGCCTGGGTCAAACATTATCAAAAGACTAAACAGCGGAGTATTGCAGATCTCCGTAACACGGAAGTATGCATTAAACAGCGTGACGTTGTTACATCCTAAAAAAACTGCTAAAGTACAATACAGTCAGAAGTCTGATGAGAAATGAGCGTGCTGTCTCTAATCAAGAGTGTTTGACAAAAATACTTCAATCATCCCATTAATATTAATACTGTAACCACATATTAATTATTCGTTGAGTGAGGAATTTATGAACGGAATGCTACTTATACCGTTATTTTGTTATTATGTCACCGTCGAAATGTCCCTTGGAAACGAATACTTCCAGTACAATCACAAAAAGGTAATCTAACTACTCACTCGTTGAACGTTTAGTTTAACTTCAGACTGAAGGCTCAATGTATCCTGTAGATACAATACTAGAGTCTGCAAGCCTGTTAGTATTTGTCATAGTTAAAGCGGATGGGTCTCACGCGCAACGCACGCTTGCGACTCATGGGTAGATGCTTGTTTCTAAACAACGACATCCTATGACACGCATTCTCAGGTGACGTCTCCCTCGTTATAACTATTATTGATAGCGAAATTGACAATGTCATTATACGTATACTTCGATTGAATGAGCAGGTACGGGTGTAGTATTTCTAAAACCCTAACCCTTTATATTGACGTAATTGCTGTGTTAGTCCTGGTTTTAGTGGGGAGGCACGCCTTTTAATTCGCCACGGGTGAGTGGTGTCTAATGTCATGGTTATATAATTATAAAGTGGACAGGAGGGAGACAAGTACATATAATACCCATAATGCACTGTAAAAGTCTCCCGAACCGGAAATCTCGCAATTCTTGGAGTGTGTACAGACTACTCGTTAATAGCCACCCATTGCACTTTACCACAATCGCTATACTAGTAACTATTATTGATTGCGAAATTGTTTCATTTAAAGCGCAGGGGACATCACCTGCGCACGCGTGGATTTTGAGTCCTAAGCGACGATAATAATGCACGCCAAAAAACGCAAAGTGGACGCTTGTTTGTATACAACGGCTTGCTATGGCCGCCTGCCGTATGCGCAGATGACGACTCCCCCACTATATCCCACAAAATATATCCCACAAAAGCACGGCAGCTTGATTTGTCGCCAGTTCAAATACTTACCGCAGCATACGGTGGAAGAGCCACGTAGATACAGGATAGGTTTCTTGTCTTCATTAAGTTACTAAAGTCAAACGATACTTGCAATGCTGCCCGGCCAGTCGCTAAAGTCTGGGTTTTATTGCAGTTATCGTTTTTACATCTAATAACGAATAAAGACGAAAATGGTAGACTAAAGCATACTAATAGTACAGTATATGTGCCTGTTTGTATGTATGTCTGTGTCACCATCATCTAAAGAACCGCTGGTAAGAATTCAATGAAACTTAGTACATAGATGCTCTGTGACAATGCGCTGACCTGACTAGTTTTTGTAACACTTCGTGCGTATTATTTACCCAATTTGCTTAATGATAAGTAAACTGTCTGCATTCCAACTGATATATCAAGTATTATTCATCACATTACAATTAAATTTGGAACATAGATGCTCGAGGACAATGCACTTGTCTGATTAAATTTGGTTTACAATTGCCTAATTTGCCTAACAATTCATAATTATTGTTGTTATTATTAGCCAATTCTATTATTAGAAATTTCTTTCTTTCTTTATTTTTTTTGTTTTTTTTGTTTGTTTGTTTGTTTGTTTGTTTGATTGATTGTTTGTTTGTTTGTTTAATTTTTTGTATATTTATTCATTTATTCATTTATTTATTTATTTATTTATTTATTTATTTATTTATTTATTTATTTATTTATTTATTTATTTATTTATTTATTTATTTATTTATGGTACACGTGTTTGATCGTCGTCTTTTAAAAACATATTAGACAGACAAATGGAAATAACTGCATAACAGTATTTAAGATTGAAATTTGGAATGCCACTGATATTACGTACCATAGTCATTGCGGGTTAATATGCGGTGAAATCATGTCAGTACGAAAACAGGGCGTTTACACTTACCCTTCCCCTACCTTTGTTCTAAAGTGCACTGACAGATACGGGCGTCCACCGCAGACTAAATCACTCACCAAGTCAGCAACTCTGCGAATGCTAGTCGGCCATTTCAGATGCTTATCAACCTTACGTAACAATTCGTCTTTACCGGAAATGTTGAATTGCTCAAACGCTAAAGGATAATAAACGCCAACGCAGCGAATATTCCGTATACTTTCCAAATCACTCAGCCGAGTAATGCTCTTTATTTGTGACCACGGAGGTAATTGTATTCCATAATCTACTTCGAAAATGTCACTATGTCTCTCGTATATTTTTTCAACATCTTTACTCCTGGATGGGGTTGTTATGACGACATCCACATTACTGTCACATTCGCGCTTAAATCGGTCGAAATAGGCGACGTCGAGCAACTTTCTTAGCAAGGTTACATCGAAGGTCTCGTTCAGGTATCTCCACGATCTTGCTTGTGTACCGTGAGTTTGGAACCACCTCTCAACAATCGTCATTTTATTATATAGGGCAATGAGAACAGCAATTCTGAAATTCCTAAAGTTGAAGTTTGGCCCACTGCCGAAGTGGTGAATAGGCACCAGATAGTGAGTCACTGATGTATCAACAGTAAAACTGTCTGTGTCGCTTTGTCTATCACTTGATTCGTTCATATCACTCAGCTTTGAAGAAAAGATTGGAAAAAAACACCAAGACAATGTCATCAAACTTATACTGGGATTGAATGAGCGGGTACGGGTGTAGGATTTCTAAAACCCTAACCGTATATATTGACGTAATTGCTAGTGTAGATCCAGGTTTGAGTGGTGTGTAATCTCATGATTATTATACACATACACATATTACCCATAATGCAATGTAGTAATGACATCATTGTAAAACTTCCCATATGAACCGGAAATCTCGCATTTCCTGGAGTGTGTACAGACTACTCGTTATTAGCCACCCACTTTACCACTATCGTTCAACTCCCTTTTTCCATCCTTTATTCCAGTAACAAAACTTTCATTTTTGATTCAAATTAGAACATGAACCTCGATTGCAAATTATGCCAGATTAGACGTGTGGATGTCGGTAGAGTACTTACTTGATTTAAAAGAATACCACAGCCTAATCGGCTAACTATGTTTTTCTGTCTTATTACAATTTCATAATGTTTTCTAAAACATATTCCAAAAATATATGAATAAAAATCAAATCCTAACTGCGCGCCGTGAAATAAACAGCATCACCATGGTTATTAAACTGACTTTGTTGCCATATGTAAAATGATATTGTTTTATCATCCGTAAAATTTAGAATATTAGTAAAAAATATAACGTATACCACAAGTGAACCGTGTGTTTTTGACGTGTACACTACTGTCATGATAGTTTCCACACCCTTAGTACTAAGTTTAGTATTGTGTACTGTTCGTTTTTTTTCATAAACATATTGCATATCTATGCGTGCGTAATAAATACAATTGCCTAAAACCTAATACGATTGAAATAACTTTGCAATGTATATGCTGCACCATGTCAATAACCCCACATTATATTTGCAAGATTACGTACGTGAACGGGATATGAAAAATGTTAAAAATACAAAACGGAAAACGTAAATTTTTTTGAAAAATTGTTGTTCGATACTCCATACTTTGTTGAATCGTATAATAATTTGGTATGGACTAAAATGACCGGGGTGTACGTCAAGTCTATCCTGGTACCCATGCTGAAGTATAGCCTTTTAAAAAGGCCTCTAAGTACGTCCCTATTTTTGTGAAATTATACCCCATTTCATGTGCAGAAACATAAAATACACTATATACATATTAAGATCATACTGATTCCAAGTTTAGATAACACAAATTCATGAGAGATCTCTTTTTCACACTTTATTTACATATTTTAAAATATTCTACCCTAAAACGGTACACGCGTATACGCGTCAAATAACTTAATAACACCATTTTTACACGTTCTTTTACTACAGCTTGCGTATCATATTTTCCCAGAGAACCCCCTCCCCCTGGGCTAAAATGTCGCGTTTACATGACACACACAAAAAAACATCAAAACCATTAATACGTATATACAGTGATTGTCGTTGACGTATCAATCCGCCCAGTACACACCGACGCGTATTTGAAATGTCTCATCATTCACACACAGTATGAAAACATTTATTTACATACATACGTACTTGTAAATTATCATTCGTTTCCTCGCTTGATCCATGATCCGATACAGTCACTATTGCCACAGGAGACTCGATATCACCGGTCTCCTTGGCGTTGTCTCTGCCTGCAAACGTCGTAATGCCTCGGATCGTTGATGACCTGGACTTTTTTGACACCGGCTTGATCCCGAAGGAGTATATAGCAGTGGAAATAAAGAATCCAAGAAATAACAATAATATGAAATAGGCGAAAACATTACGAATAGTTGCCATGTTATTCTTAGTCTGACGTGTCGTGTGTACAGTGTGTTATAGCGATACACACCATATCAGTCGGTTTAATCCGTGTTTAGGGTCAGTAGGCACGAGAATGCAACACTCTCCATTGAAATCAATTCCCGTTTGGATTAGCACGCAGTAGGGGGCGTGCCGATCGTTAACCACAACGCGACTACCGTGGCTACACATTTATTTGGAGCGACGCGAGCACCGGCTGCTCCATTCTGAGTGTACATTTAATTTCAATCAAATAGCATCGTTGTATTCTATTTAAACGGAGACACTTTCAGTTGTATAGTTGTCATTCCCGTGTTTAAATTGGCGGCGTTTTTTTAGTTTTGAGATGTCAGTGATACAGTTTATTTATAAAATATTCACGTTAAGCAATACAATTATTTTATGAAACAAAATAGCGCAGGGAATAAAAATATTTCATTGAAATGGAAATAAACAATTAAATTGTTAAAATGAGATAATAATTGAATATTATTGTATTCACTATACTATCAAAATTAACTCATTGTGAGTGAGTCTATAGCAAAGTTACCTGGTGAAGTAGTAGATAAAATGTAAGATTTATGTAATGAGATAAATAAACGTGAAGACTCAGGACCTTTCACTGCCTCTAAGACTGAGAGATAATAAATAAGTAAACAAATCTGTCGACTTGGCGGCATGGGTTAGTTATAAAGAAGTTAGGACTGCCTGGTATTCCGTTTACATGTGACTCGCACACACAAACACAATCGAGGAAATCTTAGAAACAATTACCATGTGCCAACAATATTCGAGACATGTGTTTAAGTATAATGCACAGTGTATTCACAGTGATATAATCACATCATTGCAATGTGTTATGTTTTATTTAAAACATGGACTTGGATCTAAACTTACTAATGCTTCGTGTAAAAACGTCTGTTCATTTAGTGTGTTAAGTCAAATCTGTTTACTGTTCACATCACATCACAACACTTAATCAGGTTATTGGGTCATGTGACCGGAGATGTCTGTGAGCCCTAAATATATAAAATGTAAACGTGGACATTAATGAGCAAAACTAGTTCTAATTACTGCTCTATCTTGATGGGCCAGGAATTTCAGTAAATTTACGCACATCGACCCATGGCACCGGGTGGAGCGCGGGAAAACAAACTCTGCTCTAAACCGAAGTTATTGAACCCAGGGCTGCTCGGAACAATGTCCATTTCAACCAGCAATGGTAATAAAAAGCATAAAGGTTAATCTAGAAAAAACGCAAGCAATATCATTAGTATATCCGCATATGGTATTTTATTTTTTAACCATGTATGTATTTACTATTGAAATAAGAACAATGAAACGGGGAAAAATCATTGTTTTTAACAAATAATGATTATTTGGTATGATTATAAATTATAGTCAAATTTGACATGTGTCGCATGTATTTATGAAACATGCGTTTGAATCTATTGTTGATCCAATACGAAGGGGCAATACTAGTATTGCGTGCATTCAATTCCGTTGATTGTTGACTCGATGCTGAATGTACAATCAAAGACTCGTATAGGCATTACGTTTTTTAAAGCTAATGTTGCCATGGTGTAGTTCTCATAGCTTCGTTCAAGGCATTCAAGTCACAATTCTTCCAAAGTCCGTATTAACAAGTTATATCAACGCAACATGGTGAAAGTGTTTCTGATCTACTCCAAGTTTAGAACACCTTTTTTGTTACTTGTAGCTACGTCTTTGCTGGGAATGGTATTCGTGATATACGCTAATTACCGCCTTACAGCAATAACTAGACTTGCTATAGTGGAATTCACCTGGCAAACAAACGCATTTAAATCGCTCAGAAACCATGACGGGCATGTATCTCAGACATCAAACAGCGGTCGGTCAACGTACATACGTGGATACAGCAGAGACATCAGCATAGAACAGGCAGTAGAATATAATGACGACGTATCGGCACCTGTATCCAACAGCAACGAGCCCAACAAAAGTAAGTACACAATGCCTCCGAGAAGTAAATACCACAGTAACTCACAAAATTTCAGCACAATCTCCAAAAAGGAAAGCGATTCACAAATACGCCTACATGTAGACAACATAGGGGAAAACATAAGTCATGTTGAGGAGGATATCCGTTTTATTTTGAGACTCTCGGGCTATGGCAGATCGATAGCAGCACGTATACACGCGTTTGACGTGAAAAATGGACAAGTAAACCACATAAAAACGGACAGTCATCATGATACAAGAAGGCATGCGAGAAGATTCATGTTTGTGAAAAGGGGATCACATAATTTTAATAGGAATCGATCATCAGCCAAGATTATCTGGAATCTACAAACCCACCTCAAAGACATAATATCCGAACTTAAGAATTGGAAACCAAATGTGAACAAGACAAGAGCGATTAAGTCAGAAATTGACAGTTTTCTGAACAACACCAATTACGTATGTACGAAAAAAAACACCGAAATCGGCGCCGAGTACCTAGACACGTCATCGACTAATTCTGTTTACATTGATGTCGACAATTGGAAATTGCTACCAACGATAAGCCCATTGACACGTAGAACGACATTTAAAACATGTGCTGTTATTGGCAATAGTGGTATTCTACGGAATAGTGGCTGTGGTAAAGAAATTGACAGTTTCGATTTTGTCGTGAGGTCAAACTTGCAACCAATCGAAGACTATAAACATGACGCCGGAAGTAAAACGGATCTGACCAGCATATCTCAGTCATTGATGTCCAGATACAGAGTTTACGAAAATGAAATATTTGTGAAGAATTTTACTAATTTTAATACGAGTAAATTCCTGAAAGATTTGGATGAATATAAAGGTCTTATTTTATTTATTCCAAATAGTCAAGTTAGCAACCTTGCATTCCAATTGGCTCGATTCATGGAAACGAAAAGCCCCCTGAGTTTGCTGTTGTTCAACGCAACACACTCGTCTCGAATGAAGTTGTTTTGGGATATAAAGAAAGGGCTTTCAACTGGAATGACGCTTGTTGGCATTAGTTTCGCACACTGTGACAAGATACATTTATACGGATTCTGGCCATTCCCGATAGACCATGAAGGTAACCCTATTGCAATGCATTACACGGATGACATCACTTGGTCTACGTATCACAAATACCATGACTACCCAGCAGAGTTTTCTCTCCTGACTGAATTACATAAGCGAGGTGTTCTTCAAATGCATACAGAAAAATGTCATTAAATTGTGTTTCTGGAGATATTCGCTGAACACTTCAGCAGCGAGGACGACCATTATAACTGACGAGAGATTAATTAAACATCCAAACACACCGACAAACAAACAAACGAGCTCACACTGATTGTATTGCTGTATGTATCGAGAACTCTACTGGATTAAAGTGTATTATAGTTGAATTTACTTGTAATATTAATAGTTGCGATATGTTTGGATTAAAACGCTACTCTACATAGGGTTGCAATTTAATTGGTGATTAATTAAATCCAATTAAATTGCAATTTTATATATGATTGCGTTATAATTCAAGTTTAATTAAATAACATAAAGCTCATAGGCACCGACGTCGTTTTTACTTCAAAGTAGTATTGTCAGAAACGTTTGAAATGTTTGCCATGTTAAGTAAAATTGTTACTGTAATAAATGCGACATCTACGGTATTCAGAGTCATCTGCGTCAGAGGTTTTCTTGCCTATAAAAATATAAACTAGCAGTTTCATAAATTCGACTGATTGATTTTTCAGCATTTTACGGTGCCAACAATTCACCGAATCGGTGGATCGAGTCAACGAAATGAGATTTTTCCACAGGTACTGGGGTAACGTGCTATAAATAACATGCCATTTTTCAAGAGATCACCCAGTGAATTGACCGTGACCCCAGTCTGTTTATTTGCGTGTTTGTTTAGTATAGTTAATTATATACAACATTCAGAACCATTGGAACTGCGCATGCGTTCATTTTATCGCGCCTATTTAGTTTTGTTACCGACACCACGGTCTAGTAACCGTGCCGACACTACTATCAGGGGGGTATTCTACTCCACGGGGGTCTCCACACGTGCCAGGGGGGAATCTAGTCTCGTCTCTCTGTCGCGTCCCCTTAAGGTACCGGATCAGGAAAGTCACTTATACTTTACAGTCAAATAAGACACACACAACGAAATACGGTTCAACTCTCGTCTTAGTCGGTCTGTGGAGCACTCTATTATACACAGCGCCCTGGGGAAAAATCCCCAAGACTATCGCAAGGCTGACCCAAGACTCGCCCAAGACTCTCCAGGACCGGACTCTCGACTGCGTCTATCGTGCTGTGCTCCCCAAGACCAACTCAAACTCTCTTTATTCATTTTCAAAACTCCAACCAATTACAAAGCAAAAAAATGACTCTAGAGCGTAACTTTCAATCATAAAGCCAATCACACTAAGTACTGAATACGTCATATCTTTTGATTAATCGTTCACTACATTAATAACTACGGATACCAACTGTCAGAATGAGTAGTCAGAATAGCGACGGTTATCTCGCAATTAGTTCCAAATCACTGAGCCAAATTCCGTCCAGGACCTCGCCTGCCTAAACGATGACAGACATAACACAGCAATTCGGCTAATAATCAACTAATTAAATCGGTCAACAGATACGGGTAAACAAATTCATGACACTACTAGAAATTATGGAAAGCCACAGCTATCTTAAGTCATAAAATATTATGTTGTTGTCATCTTATGTAGTGCATTTACCATGTTGTGCAGTGCATTTACCATGCTATGTAGTGCATTTACCATGTAATGTAGTGAATTCGCCATGTTATGTAGTGCATTTATCATGTTATGTTGTGCATTTACATTGTTATGTAGTGCATATATCATGTTATGTAGTGCATTTACCATGTTATGTAGTGCATATATCATGTTGTGTAGTGCATTTATCATGTTATGTAGTGCATTTACCATGTTGTGTAGTGCATTTACCATGTTATGTAGTGCATTTACCATGTT